TTGGAAGAATTGAATCCGACTGGAAACGACTGAATGGGTTTAGACTATGGGGGACTCGACGAGTTGTTCATGCAACTCGGCGAGTTGGGCCGTGGTTCCCCAACCTTTTCTGTTACTAGGAAAACTCGTCGAGTCTAGGATATGACTCAGCGAGTTGGATATGGTTTTTGGGTTTTGAAGATTGAAGAACTCGACGAGTTCAAGGAGGAACTCGGCGAGTTGTGCGCGAAATGTCCCGACTCTGTATGAGGAGGAACTTGATGAGTTCATGAAAGAACTTGACGAGTTGGATCGAGATTTCCAGGGTTTTATGGATCATGGAACTCGACGAGTTGATGGACCAACTCGGCGAGTTGGGTCAACCAGGATGTTGACTTTGACTTTGACCGTTGACCAAAGTTAAAGAAGGGTTATGAGTATGAAAAGGGTAATTAAAGGAAATGCTTATGTGTAAGAGTCTGAGAAGGATTGATTTCAGAGCAGGAGCTTTTGTAGCTATTTCCCAGTTATTGAGGTGAGTTACCTTCCAGTAGAAGTGGGTCTAAGGCACCAATGCCGACCCACTAGCAGTAGATTATAGTAGGGTTGATTGTCTTCGTGATAAATTTTCTCTTAAGCCACTATATGTTATGCTATATGTGCTAGTATGCTATGATATTATATGATAGTGGTAGGAAGGGGACTAGTCCCCGGATCCGGTTGATAAAAATCGAGGGTAGGTCGGACACCCATATATGTCTGACAATATGCTATGTTATGCTATTATGTGGTAGTGGTAGGGGTGAAATACTCCTCGTAACCAGTTGAAATAAACCGGAGGGTAGTTCGGGCACCCAGATATGCCTGGCAGGGTAGGTCGAGCACCCAGATATGCTTGGCAGGGGTAGGTCGAGCACCCGGGTATGCCTGACAGGGGTAGGTTGAGCACCCAGATATGCTCAGCAGGGTAGGTCGGGCACCCATATATGCCTAGCAATATGTTTATTGTACGGTATGTGGTATGATGGGGGAACTCACTAAGTTTCGTGCTTACGGTTGTCAGTTTTGGTTTCAAGTACTTCCTCTTCGAAGGGAAAGGAGCCGACATGATTGCAGTGCATCACACCACATTATCCGCACAGGATATCTATGGGATTTATACTCTGATATGATTTTATTATGACATGNTTTTGGGTTGCCTTCACCATAGCAACTGGACAGGGTAATTTATGGAGAGAGAGAAGATATTATGATTTTATTAATATATTATGAGAATAATATATTAAAAGGAATAATCATATTATTTAATTGATATTAGTCATAAATTAATTAAGAATTAATTTGGTGACTAAAAGAGGTTAATTGAATAAAGAGGCTTAAACTGTCAAATGTGTAATAGTTGCATTTTGGGCTGGGAAGCCTCTATGGTTAAGGGGTGGACGAAATTGTGGGTAGGAACCCATCTAGATTTCGTCCAAGGCCTTACTCCAGAAGATTCCATGGGTTGCTTGGTGAATAAGTTGTCCATTAGGGTTTTGACTGAAACCCTAACTGCTCCCAGTATAAATAGGACCCTTGGGATATGATTTTCGGCCACTTGTTCTCCTAGAAACCCTAGAGTCGAAAATCATAAGTCATTACCCTCTCTCATATTGCCCTCTTGCCAATTGGTGTTTGTAAGCCATTAGAGGAGTGACACTTGTGACTCTAAGCTCCAAGAACAAGAAGATTCAAGCAAGCAACAAGAGGTAATCATCTAGATCTGATTTTCTCATGTCAAATTCAAATTGTATTCACTAGATCTAGGGCTTGCAAGACTTGGATAAATTGCATGTTCAATAGAGAAACTTAGATCCAAGCATTAGGGTTTGCATGTGCACATAGGAAAGTTCTTATGGCTCAAACTCATCATAGATATGGGATGTGGGTATGTGAAGACACAAATACCCTTTGTGAGAAGCACTGTATCCTAAAAATACACAAGGAAGTGAACGGAAGTCCATTTTATGATAGTTGTAAGGGCGTAAGAAGGGATAACAAAGGCATCCGAATGTTCGAAGAAAGGTATAATCAGGGTCCTTTTCGTAGAGAAGGGAATAAGGAGAAGAATATTTTAGTGTAGGAGTAATGGTTCGATTATGTAGGTAGGTTGAGGTTTTAAAGGCATGTTTCCAGTATTCCTGTGGGAGGGATGATTGAGCTAGTAAAGATAAGTCTTTTTCAACAATTACTCTATTTCCACATCCCCATTTTGTTCAGATGTGTATGGATAGGAAACTCTGAGTAATACCACAAGTTTGGAGGTAATTAGAATCAGGACGAAATTCACCACCCCAATCAGATTGAACACATTTTATGTCAGAATCAAACTTTGATCATAGTGCGAAAGTTGATAAAAGTTTGTAAAACTTGGGATTTGTGAGAAAGAAAATAGATCCAAATAAATTTTGTATAATCATCAACAAATAAAAGAAAATAACGATTGTCATTTATTTATAAAGGGGATGGACCCCAAACATCTGAATATAATAATTCAAATGGTTTAGAACAGGAAACATGAGTAGATGAAAGGGGAAATCTGTGAATTTTTCCCAATTGGCAAGATTCACAGACTGATGACAATTTATTTGTGGAAATTAGAAGCTGAAACTGAGAAACAAGTAGGCGAAGTATGCGGTCATGAGGGTGAGCGAGACGGTTATGCCATCCAGCTAAGGAGGTACACACAGGAGAGAGCCATGGTAGACGACATGGTATGTTGAGGAAGAGCTAAACGGTAAAGACCATTTTCAACGCTGCCTTGGATGATTGGTTTGCCCTGTAAGATCTTAACAACACAATGATTAGGCCAGAATTCCATGAAGACATTATATCCTGTGTTAGTTGAGAAACACTGAGAAGATTATTAATTAAACGAGGAACAACAAACACTCTAGGTAAACGCAATGAAGATAATGAAGTAGAGCCAAAATGAGTAATAAGTACGTGGTTACCATTGGCAACTTGCAATTTGTTGTCTTCAGTGTGTGGTTCTGTGATATGCAACTTTTTGGGATCTGAAGTAACATGATCGATGGCTCCTGAGTCGAAGTACCAGGAAGGGTCCATGACAGTTGATGGACTGGGGTAGCTTGCAAGATGAGCCTGGCGAGGTTGATCACGAGGAATGGGACGACGAGAAGGGTAGTCAGTTTGATTACCCCGCTACCAACAGTTGATGGCTTCATGGCCTGGTTGCACAGTTGGCAATGCAGACGATGACGGCGACTATCAAACCCACGATAGTGAGAATTTTGTTGGTGAGTTGTGGTAGGGGAGCGGGAATGGGGCTGGCTGCGAGACACTTGATTTGCCATCGGGAAAGAGGTGGGATGAGTAGAAGTGGATGTCGAAAGTTGGGTGACGGCTTGACGAGCAAGGTCCTGATCAATACGGGCTTCTTCTTGAAGAAGTAAGCCAAATAGGTCATCGACAGAAGTGGTGTTAGATTTCATGAGAAAAGCAGAAACAAAGTGGTTTTAGGAAGAGTCAAGATCATTGATGATGTAGGTAATGAGGTCGTCTTCAGAGAAACAGGGGTGAGATTTTCAGCCAAAAAGTCTGCAATCTGGCGTTTCTTTTCAAGGTAGTCGTTCATAGATAATGACCCTTTGGAGAGCGATTGAAGTCGAGTTTTGAGGGTCATCCGCTGTGCACGAGTGTGAGCTTGAAAAAATCATTCTAGGGTTTGCCATGCCTGTTGGAGGATGATGATCTACCAACGGTAGCAAGCGATCGATCAAATAGGGTGGATTTCATCCAAAGGAGAACAAATCGGTCCTGCTTTTTCCAGGTAGCAAACGCTGGATTTGGAACAGGGGTTGCATTATTAGGGGTTGGAGCATCAGCAACAGTAGGAAGAGCAATAGTTTCTGGTGGTGGGAGAGGATTAAGAACAAAGGACTCGAGATCAAAGCATTCTAGGGTAGAGATAATGGTGGTGCGCCAAAGAGGGTAGTTGTCTCGATCTAGCTTGATGCTGAGAGTGGGAATTTGGAAGTTGAGGTTGGTGGAGGCGATTTGAGCCGCAGCAAGAAGTTGCTGGTTGGTGGCGGACATGGTGGAATCGCAAAGCTCACAGGAAAAAAAATTGGTGCGCAGGTCAGCGCTCTGATACCATATAGAGACGATAGAATACAATTGAAAATTGATGTTGTATATGATTGATGAGAATTACATGTATATATATACAGAAAGAAAGTAACCTAACGTCTGATAAATGAGCACTAGTACCACGTGACTATAATACCCAAAGAATAGGACTAGAAGACTAATTCTCTTGACTAAGTTATTAGTCGTTAAGATTTCTATGACAATACATGGAGTTAGGAAAACGATAAGTATTCAAAGTGTGATTACGATTTAGAGTTAGGATTGGGGTTATTACCAAAAGGGTAAATAAATTGGTGTCGTCTGTTTACAGACACAAACAATTATTTTCACATTCAAATGTAAAATATGCAAAAAAAAAAAAAAAAAATTAGGGACAAATCGAGATTTAAAGTATCCAAAGTTGAACAAGATAAGGTTGTTTTCTTATAAGTTATATAAGTATCCAAAGTTGAACAAGACGTTTTATTCCATTTGTCCCGGGATTAGTTTTGACTTTTTGGTTTTTGATCGAATATGATTGCATATCACATGCTAACCCGATATTTGGTTCACATTATATTTTGGAATGAATTAAAATATTATTAAACATAATGCTCTTAAAAAAGATAAAGGCTGATTCAAAGCAATTTGAATTAAAAAAGAAATAAAAAATCCGAATAAATTCTAATATGTTGCATGCTTGGTTAGACGGAAATGTAACTTATTAAATAATATCCTTTGCTACTCACTTTGGTTTGTAAATCTATCAAAGAAATTTAAATGTAAATCATGTTAAAAAGAAAGAATGTGTTTGTGTTTTTAGCTCACAAAGGAATTCAATTCTTACCACCCACTTTAGGTATAATAAAGATCCCTTGAAAACATGGATTTCAAAATAATCTCTTGGAATACAATTCCATTGGTTTGGCCACCAGCTTCAAGACTCCAATTCCTTCAGATTTTGCAACCAAACACGCCCTAAAGAAATTGAAATATGTCATATTTGCTTGCATGGTTGATAGGAAATGGAATGGAAATTGCTAGCGAGAAGATGGAAAGCTGATATAGGCCTCGAAGGTTAAAAGAGGTATCTATCTGAGTATTCTTCTAACAAGGGGCTGCCGAAAATTGCATACATAATGAATGGAACGTTGAAATCCACTAGTCAAAGAATTTTATCAAGTCCAACAGACCAACAGAATTCAACTTCCTACTCAATACACAAATGGAACTAAATTCCGCTTTCGGCCAAATCCAATGTAACTAAAATTCTCATTTGTTGATAACCCATTCACAACAAAGAAACAAAAAAAGCATTTCAAATGAGGACACTTCAAGTAGTTTCGTTTTTTGGTTGTTGGTCTACCACCGGGGGCAAGAGAAGGGCAAGACGGTCTTTGTACCTTTCGATTCTTTGTAGCCTTTGATTTCTTAATCTGCAAATAACAAGATGCCTTATTAATGTCCATTAAGTCAATGTCTGACTTTTGAGAGTCAACTGAGTTAAAAATTAAGAAAGCATACCTCACTCGGACCTTCTTAGCATGCTTAACATGCTGTTGCAACAGCTCCTTAGCAGATAAATGCTCAACATCTTCCATTTTCTGAGACCATGTAAGGGCAAATATGTCATTTCTTAGTCACACGTGTCTACATATATACATGGTAGAAAACAAAGTTACGTATATCTTTTCATCTGGAAGAGATGAGGGTAAAAGAGAGAACGCACAAAGCATTCAAAGGTTTACATACTTTCTAGATGTTGGTGTCCCTCTACTCCAAAACATTGGTCTTTCATGCTTTGCATTCATTCATTATAAAATCTTATCCCATTTTTGCCCTTACAAGTTATTTAACATCATGTTCTTCATAAGTGAGCAACATTAATTATGTGTTTTTAACAAAAAAAAGTACTATTTGATAGCTCCTCGAGTAGGTACATGAACAACTAATGTTCTTGTAGATAAATGTTTGTTTATGCAACAAACATATTATTACTTTTTTTTTTTTGCCAAACTGGTTTTTTTAGACAAAATATGTAACTATGTTTCAATGCAAATCGTTTAACTTGTTACAACGTGGTTGCATAATTCGTGTTAGTTGCATAAATTGGTAGAGAACTGAAATTTAGTCGCAATAAGATAGAAACTAGGCTCGTGTGATTTCAAAAACGGCACAATGATTGAAATAACTTTACTATTAGAAGGAAGTTTCAAACATGATCATATACAAGTTCACGAAACGACTCTTTATCCAATTTTTAAAAATGGAAATTTAGGAGGCGAATTAACATTTTTAATTTCTAATGTAATCGAATCTCATTTCACAAAATGGAGCAATTTAATGTATTTATTCTAGCATCCTACTTCCATTTCTTCCTATTAAACCATTGTACTTTGAAATATCTACCCAATTTACAACAATGTCGTCAAAATACAACCAACGCAATTTTCAGTTGTATACTTGGTAGATTTATTTGAAGTATTAATCTCTTAATAAGAAAAACGTAAAAAGTAGGATGCTATATTTGGGTAGATTTATCAATGTACGTCTTATTAAGAAAAAAGCTGAAAGGTAAGATGCTATCACTTACAAAATAAATGAAAGTAGGTTGTTATTTCTTGCATTTAGCTTAAAACAAAACTACAAAAGTGAGAGTACATACCTCCTCCATCTCCATATCGTCCTCCTTTGTTGCTTCTACCATGGATGCAGGCAACGGCTTTGGAAGAGACTTGACACAATCGACATATTGTGGCTGTCAACAAAGGTTAACTCTATAAGACACATACATGAGACTAGACAAGCTTTCTAGGACTATTTAAGCATTTTTATGATGAAGATGAGAAGGGCAGGGGCAGTCACGTCTTTTTCACAAACGTGCTACGTAGCGATGCGGCGATATTGACTGTTTAGCAACCACACGGACCATTTCTATATTTTTACTCTATATTTAATTGTCAATAAACATGAAATAGCGAGCGATATTTCATCGCTATCGCTACGTAGCATATAAGCAACTTGTCGATCACCTGTTATTTGCTATCAATAACATACATGCATGTCGATGAACTACGACCAAAACGGCCTCGAGCCCCTTTTATTTCGAAAGACCCGTAATGAAATCTATTATCTATTGATATAACCTCCCATATCAGATTGGGAACAGAAAGTGGTTGAAGCAAGCCATTAGGGACAAAGTCGAAGACTTATACCTTTGACTTGTGCCGCATGGACAGACAGATTCACAAACTGTTTTGATCATTCCAAGCCAACAGATTTAGGAAACTAATCAACGATAGGTGCAAAGGAAACCAGAGTGACTCAGTGAGTGTGTTATCGAATTCGTTGACAAGGATTGGAATCCATGTTATTATAGCATTGATGAGGTCCAAATTACCAAGATCGTAAACGAAGGCGTCAATTATGCAAAAAAATCTCAAGATCATAGACCAAGGCACTGATTTGACATCTATACACGACCATAACCATTTTTATGCCCACACGGGACATAGGATCCCAAGAGCCACCGTTAATTTCTTGGAGATGAAAATCCACAGTCAACTAAAATTAGGGCATGAATTTTTTCGGCCAGTTTGAGAGTATCGAATGTAGGAGATGGATTAAAAGAGATACCACAAAGTTACAAAGAGATTGACACTCACAGTGTGGTGTTGTCTGTCGACCGGAAGCGAAGCTTCAGCAAAGCAAACTTCACCTTCCTCTATTTCTTCTTTGTCGTCAGCCAAAAGTAGAATGCGAAGGCCGCCCTCGACGTATTTGTGTTGCGAAAGGTTTTGAGGCCACAGCCCACATGACGTCGTTCCTCCCATTCTTTTTTAGCTATATCGCGGTCAAAATTCAAATAGCAGTCACCGGGCAGCTATTTGAAATAACGGTTCTCGCGGTGGAATAGCAGTTTTTTATATTACGTTGAATTTATATATTAGAACATTAATACTAGAACTAATATCATAAAAGGTCATAAAAATATAACATAATACTAACTCTGAGGGAGGAAGTTTGAACTCTAAGGTCATCATGGCGGGACGTCTAGTGTCGTGTGTCGTATACTTAAGTATATTTCCAATTAGATCTAAAAGACAAAAAAGTTGATAGGTATTTAGGCTAAAATAAATATGATTTTATTGCCCAATTGTAATGTTATCGATAGCGAATAGCGAATAATAGCGACAAACCAATCATATTTAAAGCATTTAAAAACCTTTTCTAGTGGTAAAAAAACATTTTCAATGGCAAAAGTATACATGAGACTGAAACAGGCAAGAAGATGTATGAGAGGAAAACAATGAAAGATAGCAGTGGCTTGAAGTTGTATGAGAGATTGAGAGGGAAAGATAACTCGATGATTGGAAAGAAGCCTAAAATCGCACATATATACAACTATTCGTTGGATTGTTGGAATTAGTTATATAATTGAAAGTCAAAATCAGAAAAAGTTCCAATTGCAATCTCAAATTGAAACTCAACATTACAAATTTCCAGCTGATTTATGAAATCAAAAGTTACGAGACATTATAAATTTCCAATCGACCCCTTAAATGACGTACCCATCTGAAATTGAAGGTTCCAATAGCATGTGTTTATCTTCAATTGATGTATTGAGGGTCAATTTCAAAAATTAAGGGTCAATTTCAGAAATTTAGGGTGGGTTGATTTCAGATTTTATATCCCACCAAGACCCCTACAAAGTAGCTAAGAATCAGTAAAAGTAATTTGTATTGTATATTAACAATTAACGTGATACAAGGGATATATATATATATATATATATATATATAAGTAGAATAATTACACTCTAAACCCTAAACTAAAGCCAACTGTCTAATATTCCTCCGCAAGCTAAGGCCGGGTAAGGGTTTGTAGCTTGGATCGTAACCCCTCAAATCTTTGTGAAGACAATGGCTTAGTGAAAAAACTTCTACATGGAGAGCATCCTCACCAAAATAAGCTGTGTGACTGTCAATGGAGGAGAGATCATGAGAGACATGATTATTGGAGCCGGTGTCAGTAAGCCAAGTGGTAGTTTGAGCTCGGTTTTCTGCAAAGTTAGCAGAGGGTTGTGGGCGTGAACGGATGGTGTAAGGATCACGGTTGGGGCACTGTGAAGGAATGTGGCCAATACCGCAACGATTACGCGTGCCATAGACAGTGTTCTGGGTTGAAGCCCATGGGAATTGGTTTCTAGTCCCACCTGGTTGGGAGTTACAGTTTCCGCAACCCCGACGATTGTTTGAGCCACGACCTCGAGATGATGATGGAGGTCGGTTTGTATAAAAGGCTTGGGGGGAGGAGGGAGGAGCCGGACTCAATTGTAGACCGAGTTGGGAGACAAGTTGTTGGAGGGCTTGAATGTGATCAGGAGAGGGATGAGCCTGGTTAGGTGTCGGGCGGTTTGATGAGGTGGTGGTAAAGGCTTGGACAGGTGCAACAACAGGAGATGTTTTCTTGATCATAAAGTCATGATCAGCCAACAAACCATGAAGATCTTGGAAGGAGGTGGGTGTTTGTCGAGCAAGAAGGGTGGATTTGAGGCCATTGTATTCCTCCCGAAGGCCGGAGATAACAAGCATGACAAGATCTTTCTCCTTGACAGGTTCTCCAATGTTGGCCAAGGCATCGGAGTACTCTTGAGCCCGTAAAAGATAGGTAGATGCGGTTTCATCAGGTTTCATCTCTAGCTTAAGGAGCTGGGTTTTAAGGGTATATTCTCGTGAAGAGGTTTGAGGGGCATAGGCCCGTTGTAGAGAGAGCCAGAGATCTTTGGAGGTCGTCCCTTGAGCATGAGGGTAAGAGGATTCTGATATGGTGGATAGAAGGAGCATGTGCACATGCGTATCATTGGCAAGCCGGGCAGTGTGGGAGGGGTTTGGTTGGGGTTCGGCTGTGGTGGCCTTGTTTGCTGCTGGTAGAGTAGGAGCGGGACATGGGAAAGATTCATCAATGTATCCATATAGATTGTTGGTGACAAGAAAGGGCTTAATCATTGTTTTCCAGAAGCCATAGTTTGTAGGAGAGAGGGTGAACGGGAATTCATGGGAGTTGTGTGACGTCTTCTCTGTTGTGGAGAAGGTTGTGATTGTTGTCATGGTGATGATCAATTGTATTGATCAATATTTCGATGATCAAATATGGACAGAAGTTGTCGACAGGAGAAACACAGGAAGTGGCGGCAAAGGGTTGTAACCCTAGAGCATGTATTGGCTTTGATACCAAATCAGTAAAAGTAATTTGTATTGAATATTAACAATTAACGTGATACAAGGGATATATATATATATATATATATATATATATATAAGTAGAATAATTACACTCTAAACCCTAAACTAAAGCCATCTGTCTAATGCTAAGTTGAAGATAGCGTCATTGCACCTCAACGCTACATAGTGCGCTATAGCGGTCGCTATGGCCGCTATCGACAACACCGTCGTATCGATGCTAAGGAAGTCTTTTTTTCATTAAACTGTAACAGCCCGATGCATGAATCTAAATAGCGACTCTACAACCGCAATAGCGGTACCCTCAATCACAATAAATAGCGGCAAATATCGACGTTAATAGCGCTACCGCTAAACTAAATCGCCATTTTGTAGATAGTCGCTAACCGCTATAGCGCGCGATTAACTGCGTAGGTTTTAGTTGACATCCGGATTACAAGGTTGGGTATTAGATTTTTCCGTGTAACAAGCTTGGGTTTGTATGGAGGGACCCGGTGGAATGGAAAGTTTTTATATTAGCCTGGACCGGAGAATAAGGTATTCATGGCACAATTGGATAAGTAGAAACGGTGCAAAATTTCATCAATGTAGAGTTCCAATTAGATATACCAGAATGCCTCTTGGACGGTGGATTGTCATCATGAAGTCCCATCACAATTTCGATGTTACCAAAGCGCCTTGATGGCAGGTGGCAAGGTTAAGTGTTCGAACCTAATTACGAATCTCCCATTTGAGACCACGAAGAAACTAGCTGATGGAATGTTCTTCTGTCTGGGCAGGAACCAAGGCAGAGAGGGCATCAAATCCGTCAATGTATTCTTTCCATAATAGCGTCTTGAAATAAGAAACCAAGTGCCTCATGAGCATTACGAAACTTGGTGCCACTAAATCTATTCAAACGTTTGATATGGAATTGATCCCTCAGGATGCTTAATCAAGATATTTATGTACCAGCAGACTGCAAAATCCTACATACACATTTATGCTAAGAAATCCTACATGCACATTTATGCTAAGTAGAGCTTGTTATTTTGCGGGTATGGTGCACTTGGAAGTAGAGTTTAACCTTGGTCGCCCATCCTTGAGTATCCTCATCATCAAAGACCACTTTGGGAAATGAGGAGTGATGCTTCCAGATGTGGAGGATTGTGGATAGGGTCTGGACGTCGAGGAAGGAGTTTGTCGGAACCACAAACGATGATGATAGGTGGGTGAGAGAGATGAGACTCAACCTCATCAAGATCCTAAGATGACCTGCCTGCCTTCTTTGTTGATTCTGAACACCTTGCTTCAGCTGCTCTATGGAACGAGAAATCTCATTCAAAATATCTACGTTGACAAAGAAAGAGAGCTCATTGAGTTCCATGGATAAGGATCGATTCTTCCATCGTGAGATTCAATACGAGTTTGGAGGGCCCGGAGACGGGTTGTCACTTGAGGTTTTGTAGATTGCACCATTGATAAGATGCGGGAAGAAGGAAGGCAGTGGAACCCATTGTTAAAATATCCACAAGGAAAATGTAATAGAATAGGGAGAACAACTACGTAACAATGAATTCAAAATGGAGAGGAAAGCTTTAAATTCAAATCAAATGAAAACATATACAAATCAGAGAGAAGAACCCTTCTCTTGTATACTATCCATGGGTCTATTAGGTTTCTTTGTAGTGGGCTAAGGTTATGGACCTTATCAATGTCAATGTGCCAAAAAGTTCAATTTTTATCCCACTCACAAAGGTGAAACAAGATGATCTCTTGTCTGTGCAAAAGACATGGATGCCCCTCGTCAACCTCATTATTGAAAATATCCTACAAAGCTTCTCTAGTTCAATCATGTTCCCAGTAGCAAATGGGAGAATAGGAGGAGTTATATGCCCTTTTTCGAATAAGATATGATGTGGGCCATTTTCTCTGTGTGAATTCTGTTTCCAAATTACTACAAATAAGAATAGAACTTATATGATGCTAGCCATAAAAAAATACCTGATTTTCCAAAGTAAATCCATTCTTTAACCACGACCGACATTGAGCATAAAGAGAAGTGCCCTCAACAACTTGAACCTGTTTTGTTTAAAACAGTAGCAGCAACAAATAACATCATGAGTTGATTTAGAATATGAAAAGTTTTCATAAGATCAAATAGATAAGCTTTTATAGCGTGAACTAAATAGCTATTAGCATATTACACATAAGTTGTATGCTAAAAGACATTTGTGATTATTTTAATATCTCAAGTTCATCATAAATAATGTCTTCAATTCTAGTCGAATAACTAAGCAAGTAGAAGCAAATCTGATTTACATGGCCTAATTGTTTATGCAGTACATACCACCACAATAACCTCGTATTTCGCTTCCATGGAGAGAAAAATAAACAATACATATTAAAAGAATATAAACTTGACTCAGTCTTCTACATCTGTTGACCTGACTAATGAAACATCCAACTGTGCTTGCATATATGCGTAGTAAATTGTAATGATACACCTGTGCATTAAAGTACTCAAAGACAGTATATCAAAATGCCCCAATGAATTTATGAGCTCAAAACATGTTGTATCACTATTTTCACACAATAAACATAATAGGAAGGAAGTATTGGAACACTAATTTTAGTATCTTCAACATTATGTTATTAATATATAATATGAATTTAATTTGTCAAAAATATTTTGCTTGCATCCGCCTATTCTATATTTTATTCATAAATTCTATGATAGTTCATATGGGAATTGTTGGCCATGCAATGTGATATTGGCAATGACTGTTTGTATATACATATACGCAAATGTTTCTTAATGCAACATGCACTAGAGCCCTTTGAAGTAATATTTACATTTTCACTTTCTATTGATTTATGTATGTATATTCTAGTGAGCCAACTTATTATGAAGCTATCAATTTGAACATTGCTAGACTAATACGAAAAGTACTTTTTCTTTGTATATATGCCAAAAGAAGGATAACTTGTATGCACTAACTAGCAAATATATTTATTTATAGGCAGAAACAAATGATATATTTTGGTTGATTTATGCCACAAACATTATAAAATAATTTAAGTTCCTTTGCATAAAAAACAAAAGCAATTCAAACAAGTATAAATCATAATCTCAAAAGATGTAATGAAGTAATTCAAACAAGAACTCATCTATGCATGCATGACATGTGCAGAATTTAACTACTGTACATTTTTTTTTCTGAAGTTATATGCTTGTTGTTTGTTCATGGAATACCCACAATGTAGGTGCCGTTTCTTTTTTATTTAATGTAGAAAGAATAAGTTAATATTAGGAGGGAAGGTTGTTACTTTTCACATTAAGTCCTACTTTTTACAGGTTGCGCTCATTTATCTTTTACTTCTAATTCCCAATGTGTGCCGTCCATGTCATTTCTTAAAAAAAATAAATGAAGCGTTCTCTGCTAAACGCTTACGTCCAAAATAAAAGTAAGATAAACTAATAAATTCTGCTTCTGCTTCTGCATGCATAATATATCATATCAGAAACACACAAGGCAAAGAAAGTATTTTCACCTTTCTATCTCTAATAATAGCAAAACTACCATCTCCGTTCTTATCCCTACAAAAATCATAAACAAAAATTGCTATCAGCTGAAGAGAAGATGATGATTGGACAACAATCTACACATACAATATGTGAGGAAACCGAACGTGATATAACCTTATAGTATATAAGCCATTATCTTCAGGAGCTGATGATTGAGCAACAACCTACAAATAAAATATGTTATGCAATAACAAACATCACAAAGAATGTGAAGAATCCAATTAAAATAATTGATATCAGATCAAAATAAAGAATAAAAAGTATCCGAATGTGCACAAAAGTGTAAAAAGAAAAAGAATCAAGATAGATAGATAGATCTTCATATCATTAATAAAATATCCAGACTCAAATAAAAAAAAAAAAACTTCTCTTCATAATTAGATATGAAATTTCTAAGTTATGCAACATCGCCATGGGAATGAACCAAGATCATCCTAAAAATATGCAATATCAAGTATCAACAAGAAAGACCTAAATATCGATTATCAACTGCTTAACTAGAACTAACCTGTGAAGTAACCTATTATTATATTCTACTCGGTAGAAAGTTCTACTGATGTTATTTTAAATCTGAGTGTTACCGTGTCTCTTTGTTTATGAAAAGCACGATCAACATAGGAGGAATTTGCAGTTCCCTTTGGCTTTGGTTGATCATTTGGATCTACAGTTTCTTCCTCTTCGGGTCTTTCATTTAAATCGATAAATAGCCTTCTAGCCGCTCCTTTGCTGTTACCAAAGCCTAAACTTCTATCCATAAAAAAAAAAAAAAATAACGAAATAAAGCTACTTCTCCTTAATATAGGTGAAAATTTCTTCCAAGTGACAATGATCGGAAATGTTTATGTAGAGGATCATGCCATCCGCCCCCTCTAGAAATTTCTCATTAAAGAAGCAACGATTATCAATTAGATTTTATTCTTCTTTTGGATAGGGCATTATAGAACTTTCTCAAATGTTACGACTCGTTAATTGTACAAAAAATTTGGCTAGATTTAGCATTTTCATCCACATAACATAACCATCATGACTTCCGTATCTTAATATTTTCATCATTTAAACCACTGGTCTTTCTTAGTTAATGTGTTGGACCAGAATAACAAGAAAATACACTTTATACACTCACAAGCTAGCACAACATGCAGACATGTATTCACTCTTCAATTCAATCACAAATGTATACTTTCAAACTTGAAACTTTGATAAAAGAAATATAAATAAAAGGTTTGATCACCTTATAAGCGTTAAGTTGTGGGTTATCTATAACTTCCACCAGGATTTTTACCTTCATACAGAAGTTACTGTGTTGTACTTGGGATGTTACACAAGAAGCTCTAGAATGTAGAACATGTGATTTGCATAAACATTTTATAACCGGTTACTCAATTTCCAATACTAAATTAATTAAGAAAAGATATATGATTTTAAAACCTTTTAAATTCTAGGGCTACTTTTCATGATGGGTGAGGAGGAGGGTATTCACGTCTTTTGCACAAGCAGAAGATCATGAGAGAGTCCCTATCCCACTTTGTTCCACCTTTTGGTATAGGAGAAAATGCTGCAACTTTTGTCCCATTGGCATTAGTCTTGGTCTCTATGCCACGCTTACTCACTTATCATTTTGCCAAATAAGTCAGAAACCAGGCCGGGCCTTAAGCTCCAGTCATGTACACTTCCAATAAATACTCAAAAGATTACCATTTCTAATCTAGAACTGGCACTGCTATTTTGATTATTATTCTATTGGTATGGCTGAGTGATAAACTTTTTTCATTTTATCAAGTAAGACAAAACACGATGCTGCAAATGTAACTCAAGCATCATAAAGACTGTCCTTTCTTCAGAATGAGGATGTATTATCAATCATGTATGAATCTATGATGCAATTTAGTGAAAATGCGATCTTACATGGTGCTAGATCAGAATGTAGAGCAAAAAGGGGCATTCGAACGTGACTCTGAGCGAAACAATGCAACAAAAAAGAAGAATTCATTTTTAAGTGTGTATAGCGCAGAGAATTCAAACCTTTGGGTTTGCAGAAACTGAAACCCCAGCAGCAAAAGTGGGAACTATAGCGCCGCCACCCATGAGGGTTTGTTGCAGATGGGCAGACGAGGGAGTAACCAATTGATGCGAAGTTTGACCAGGAATATCAGAATTTGAGAACCCATATGGCCGATGAACAGCATAAGGGTAAGCGGAGACAGGACCAGGGGGGAAGCCGTCAGAATTGATTACCACTCCCACTGCCGCACTCTGGTCGGAGGTAAGTTGTTGATGCTTTGACAGGAACCCCCTTCCGGAGGAAGCAACAGGATATAGAACTCCCCCCGCCGCTGATTGTTGATGATGAGTTCTTGAATTCGATTGAAGTGACTGTTGTGGTGGTTGTTGACGTTGTGTTGGTGGTGGGAAAGCTGCCGAAGTGGCGGGTTGGGGATTGTAGAAGGTTTGGTAGATTGATGGGTGTACGTGCTTTCGGGGCCTCTGTCGCGCTACCGATTTAAAGAAATCGGCGGTTGCGGTTGCGGCGACGGCGGTAGTTGTGGTGGTGGGGTTTGGTGGGGGTGGAGATGACATTGGCAAGGGTTTCAAAATATTTAGATCCAGTTTCGACCAAATTGTTTGATGATTCAATTCGAGGAGTGTTGTTTATGGTGTTCGAAAGATGGATAGATTTCTGTCAAAAACAGAAAAACTTGAGCGGCTTCTCTTTTGAAAAACATTTGATTTTTGGGTGTTTGTTGTTGGGAAATCTCGAGAAAAAAATAAATAAATAAATAAAAATAAAATCCTAAGTTAATTTATGATGTGGGCGTGTTTGGCACGGAGCTTTTGGAAGCGTTTGGGAGCTTCTAACTTTTAGCTTTTGACAAAACGCTCTAGTTTAAACAAAAAACTTTGTTTGGTAGTACGAGCGTTTAGTTTTTAGTTTAAACAAAACGCTCTAAATCTAAAAGCTATTTCATGTAGCGTTTAACAAAACGCTACTGAGCTTTTGAAATCAATTTTCATAATTACCCTTAAAAATATATTTATATGTTTATTTATTTTTAATCAATTGTCTTTTTATGTAATTTTATATATTTCAAAAGCTTTCAGCTACTTTTGCCAAACACTCATATAACAAATAAAAGTTATAACTTCCCGCTACACGCTACCCGCTACCCGCTACAAGCTACCCGCTTCCAACTAACAGCTACTTTTGCCAAACACGCCCTAAGTCTTAAATTAAATTTTATTAACGAAAAATTACACGAAACCGGCTGTTATAATCATTTAACCTTTTTTTTTTTTACTTTTTTACCTTTTCATCGGGTTATCCCATTCAAACCCTTTTTCTTCCATTGTTGTAAACCAACCAAGCTAACAAGTTATGTGAAAAAATATGGGACGCCTGTCAGAATGTATTACTAACAAACTCACCATTTTCACCATTGTTACAAGGTCAAGCTCCAACACCAGCCAATTCAAGCAACAAACTCACTAACATCTGGCAATCAAGATCGGATTTTTTAATGTAATCGGAGGACCTTCACTCCAAGATTTTGTTTGCTTCAATGGCAAAAAAAGTCCATGTAAACATAACCACCAACAACACCAAATCTCCTCCAACTGGCATGTGTTTGAAGAATCGGATGTGGTTCATACCTTGACACAGTGGGTCACAGTGAAGGGTCGAATCGGGCTTTCTTCTCCAACCAAAAAGGTCGGATCTGGTTAGCGACAATTCCTGAAATCGGGTCTAGACGTGGGTTGGATATCGATGAGTCCAACCATTTTCTTGATTTGACATACAAGATTGTCGCACCCCCAAACCAGAACGGCGGAAACGTTCGGGGGCGGAGGACGTCGTGTTCAGTATCATATCAATGCATAATAGTAAACAAGCAACAACATCATCCATTGCATTAATAGTATAATTTAGTACAAGTGTGTTCTGTGTATAGTTTGAAAGACACCAAAATATGAATCAAAATAAAAGACGAGTCTTGTATGTGCTCCGTCTTCTCAAGTTCTGGTCCAGTGTACCTGTCTACTGGTGACCTGAGAATACAAGTTATTTTGAAAGAGTAGATCAGCATTTAAGCTGGTGAGTTCATAAGTATTTAGTGTCAAATGTTGTATATGTTTAATGAAAGTGTTTGTTTGTGTCACAACTAGGAATTCTAATGCTTTTGTAAACATTAACAATGATAACATTTGTGACTAAAACTTG